TCTTAAATAAATAATCATTTATTTAATAAATACCTTTAAATAATCCTTCATAGTTATTACTTGTGATGCTGATACTGTGAAAGTAGCTCAACACGTTAAAGTCGGATATTGCATTTTAAAAGTTGGCCTATCAGAAAGTTGACGGAGTTTATGAATTGCTAAATTAACAATACGAAAATGACCAATAATTATAAGTATTTGTTTAATTATTGGTTTAAAATATGCAAATTCAATTATATCTTTAGCTAATAAATTTCCTTGATATACCATGCAAGATAAGCATAAAACACGCCCTTGAATTTTAGGATCCTAAATTAAATAAAATATAAGATTTAAATTTTATTAAATATAATAAATAAAATATATAAAATATATACATATAGAATTCATTAGTCGTCTAGCTTTAGCATAATTTCCACCACTATCTGTAACAAATCCAACCCATTTTTTAAGTCTAATTTCTATACCAACTTCTTTATAATCCATATAAACATTTTCGCCTAAATGTTGTTGATTTGATTTATTTTCTATTTTATATAATTCACTTTGTCAATTTTCATCAACTAATACGTAATTCATAATATTATTACGCGTTTGACTAGTCCACCCATCTCCAGAAAGAGTTATAAAACGTGAATTAGTTATAAAATTCTGAATTTCAATTACAACATCATTATTCAAATCCTCAATTATATCTGTACTAAGCCATTTTCGGAATGGTAATTTAAAATATGAATTAAACAAAGCAAATAGTTTCTTAACTTCAGGATCATCAACAAATGAAAAAGGTAAATTAGCTGAAGCAACTGCACAACTAATTTGTTTGTAAATTGCTTTTTTTCTATGTGTTGAAAATGGTTTATCTGCATAATTGTTTATTGATGATTGAATTAAATTTGCTTCTGATTGTATTTGTTGTAATCGTAATGGTGTTATTATAGGTATATTAGTAATTGAAGGAATAGATGATGACTGCTGTTTGTTTTTTTTGTTTGCTTCTTTATTATTTTTTTTAATCTTTTGAAAAGCTTCTTTAATATCATTATCAGCATCTTTACATTCACAAAGATAATTAACCATTTGTTCTGAAATGCTAAGAATATTTTTTTTACAATAATTACAAATAGCTGCTTTATGTGAAGTATTTCTTTTAGGTCCTTCTTCAAAATAGTCCCAAATTTTATTTGAACGTCGACCTCGTTTATTACTCATTTTTTTTTTTAAAAAAAAAGAAGTTTGAAGAATGACGATAGTAAAAGTAAAAAATTTGGTAAGGATAAAGGCCAACATTATAAAAAAAGAAGACTTTAAACCTCTATATAAGAGATTTTTACAGGTTTAAATTAGAAAAATCAGACAAAATATCACGAGAAAATTATCTCCATTTAGTGCTTATTTGAAATTTATTCAAATATATTAAAATTATATGAATGCTGGAGTCGTTAAATGGTTCTAATGCTTAAAACTATTAATCCTATATGATTTGGTATTTAGAACGTTAAAAAAAATCATAAAAAAAAATTTTTTTATATCATTATAAAGTATTATGTAACACAAATATTACATTTATTTTGAACACAAAAAAGCAGTGAAATTTTATTAATTTAGTTAGACCCGATAGCCTTAACAAAAGTTTTATTACACAATATGTGATACAATATTAGGTTGACTTAATAAGTGTAATTTTTGAAATCTTTTTTAAGATCCTTATTAAGTTACATTATTAAGTACTAAAACTTAAAAAATAATTTTTAAGTCCCATCTTTAGATGAATGATCAACGTTATTAACATTATTAGCATTTTTAACTTAGTTAACATTTTTATTTTATTTATTTTATTCTTATATTTTATTATTATTATTTATTATATTAGTATTATCATTAAATTATAAATTATCTTTTATATTTATCTTATTATTATAAAATAGTTTAGTGTTAGATAGTAAATTCTTATAATTGTATTTTTGTATAAATAGGATAGAAACTTGTCCTTGCAAAAAAGTAGAGATAACTGTGTAAACTCAATAGTTCAAGTTCAAGACTTAGAATCCAAGGTTAAGGATAAAATCTCTACAATAAAGGAATTTCTTTTTAAACTATACATATTAAAAATCCTTCAACATATCAATTGTGTTTATCATATTTATAAATTGTTAAAGTTAGTTACTTGCCTAAAAGTATAAACCTAAGGTTGATTGTGATAGGACTTATTTCATAGTTACTTAGTAGTTTCTCACACGTTACTTTCTGTTATTAAATTATAGTTACTCTAAGTTCGACAGGCTGAGCGTAGGGTTAACAAATTAGTGATTCCTGTCAGGATTATAATTGTCTTTATTATACTTATATGAATATACCTAATAGTTTTGACATTCTAAAAATAATTCAAGAACATTATAAAGAAGCACACAGAAATAATTTACCTTTAAAAAAAGACGCATCTTGTGTACAGTGCAATCCTATTAATCAAATAGTAATAAAGAATTTTACAAACTTTTGGAATTAGATTTCTAGTGAATATAATATTACAATATTCAGTGATTATTCTTTAATAGCATTTAAACTTTATTTAGATAGCTATCATGAAAATGCTCATAATAGTAATAAAATAATAAAAGCAGCAGTCGCATTATTATATTGTTTAAATTATTACCTATACCCTGCTGATTTACCCTCTGTTTTACAACATTTATTATTAGTCACTCACACTACTGAGTGCTTTGAAAAATCTTTTAATACTTCTATATCACCTCTTACTCCCACATCTACCATCTCTGAATCAATTGAAATAACAATGAATACTAAACAGTTAAAGAATCTCATGGATCACATGACAAAAAGTTTTAAGAATCTTACTAAAGATATCAAGAGTATACCATCTAGTTCAAATGGAGGTAGTGGAAACCTCACACCAAAGAAAAGTAATATTATTCTAGTAAAATCTTTTTATAAAAATGATGATGAAGACCCTAACGATTGGATTAGAAGTTTTGAAATTACTGCTAAAGCAAATAATTGATTTAAAACTCGCATGCTAAATATTGTATCAGAATACTTGCATGGGTTAGCTGCATATTAGTTTGAAGAAAATGTTAATACTATAACACAATGGAATTTGAATGGCAATGCTACATCAAGTTTTGTACCATTGTTTTTAGAAAAATTCTCAACTGAAGAAAAGCAAAATCTATAGCACCATCAGCTAAATACACTTCGTCAAGAACCTTATAAAAAAGTAGATTTTTATGCAGGAAAATTTAAAAGATTGTTAAAGAAAGTTGATTCTACTAATGCCTTATCAGATAAATATATTGTAAGACTTTTTTTAATGAATTAAGAAAGAATATTGTCCCTCTTGTAGCATTTACTCATCCTAAAAATATAGATGAGCTATTGACACAGCTAAACAAGTCAAGAGTGATCAATATTATGAATAGCAATCTCCTATACCAACTCAACCAAGTGGAAGCAATAATGCTATTGATAAACTTACCAAATAAATAGAGCAATTATCTTTAAACTATGCAACTTTCTCCAATGCATTATCTGCACAACTTGGAGGAAAATCTGAAAGAAGAAAGCCAAAAGATGATAAAAATTTTACGAAAGTTTAGGATACAAAACTTGGAATAAATAAGATATTATTTGTTATCGTTATCAATATAAAGAATATTATTTAAAGGAATGTATGTCTGAAAAACTAGTATATCGAAGAAAATCTGATAAAAGAAAAGTTAGTTATGTTGGAGTTTTTACCGATAGTGGAGAAGAAGAAATTGAAGAAGTAAAGGAAGAAGAAGTCTATACTCTTTTATGAAACAAACCTTATACCACTAATAGAAAAACTACTCGATAGTTAGAAATGAAAAGAAAAAGATAATCTGAATCTAGAAGAGAATTAAACTTGAGAAGCAAAAAACCTATTGACGAATTTATGGAAGTAAAAACCTCACAAATTATTACCTCTACTTCAAAGAAGAAAGTCAAATAAAGACCATTTCAAATCGATCAAATACCTCTCTATAATGTTATGCAAGATTTATTGCAAATATCTTCTTCTGCAAAAATTGGTCAACTTTTACAATATCCAAATCAAAGACATAACCTTACTCAAGGGTAGAGAAGACCAAAAATCCAAAAAACAAATTATGCTAATCAAGAAAGTGAAGAAGAAAAGGAAGAAGAAAACTGATCTTTTATCTCTCAACTACAATTTGTGAAATGAAGAAAACTCTGTCTATTTAACTCTTGCATTTAAGGAAGAGGTTGCGCCTAACCCAATAGTATTTCTTGCTAAAACTTCTAAAGAAAATATTTGGAAAATTTAAAAATGATCTTCAAGTTGGATCTCTAGACGACAGACAACAAACTTCCTTTCAAAAACTAATTGATAATTACAAGGATATATGTGCTTTAAGCTAAATAAAAATTGGACAAACTAGTTTGGTAAAACATAATATTTTAACTAATAATTATGATCCAGTTACCACTGAAGCTTATAAGTGTAAGAATCCAGTGAAACTTAATTTTCTCAAAAAAGAAATTAAGCGTATAAAAGAAAATGGAATTATCAGGAAGTCATTAAGTCCCTGAACTTCTTCTGTAGTTATAGTAGCAAAGAAAACTGAGGATAAACGAATCTGCATTGATTACAAGAAATTAAATTCTATTTCTAAAAGTGATATATATCCTCTACCGAGAATTGATGATTTATTAGAGAAATTCAGAGAAGCAAATTGGTTTTCTATACTTGATCTTGCTAGTGGCTATTGGCAGGTAGAAATGAGTGAAAAATACAAAGAAAAAACTGCTTTTATTTTTCAGTTTGATCTGTACAAATTCAATGTTGTGCCTTTTGGTCTAAAGAATACACCAGCAACCTTTCAAAGGTTAATGAATCATATTCTCCAAAAATTCTTGTATGAATTCATTGCTGTTTATTTAGATGATATTATTATTTACTTAACAACTTATGAGAATCATATCTAACATTTGAGAAAAGTATTTCAAGCGATCAAGCAAATGAATTTAATGATCAAGCTTAAAAGTATTACTTTTGTTTACCTAATATAATGTACTTAAGACATATGGTTGGAAGGAATGGATTACAACCTGATCCTGCAAAAATTAATAAAGTTAAAAGCTTTTCCATTCCAGTTAATTTAACAAGTTTAACGTTTGCATTAGAATTATTTTTATATTATCGATGATTTGTTTTAGAATTTTTAAAAATTGCCAAACTGTTAACTCAATTGTTGAAAAAGAAAGAACCGTTCTCTTAGACAGATGCTCAACAAAAAGTGTTTGATATTTAATAGGAAAAGTTAATTACTGCATCTATTTTATAGTATCCAAACTTTAATAAACCTTTTATTCTATATACTGATAATTCTAAAAATGGTTTAGGACTGTTCTCTCTCAAAAATTAGAAAATAGACTTGATTGTGTGATAATATATGCTAGCAGAAGTATAAATAAAGCTGAGCAAAATTATGGAATAACTGATCAGGAATGCCTAGCAGTTGTATGGGCTGTGAGATATTTTTACCATTATTAGGCTTACAACCTTTTACTATTATTACTGACCATTTAGCTCTTAAATGGTTACAAACATCAAAAATTCCCAAAGGAAGGAGAGCACAATAGATCATGAAACTCTAACAATATGATTTTGAAATAAAGCATAGATCTGAAAAACTAAATGCTAATGCTGATGCTCTTTCACAAATTAATTCTGATCAAAAATATAAAGATAATATACATGAAGTTTTCATGGTAACTACTGTTGAAGCTGAAGAATCAGAGAACAAATGGCATATTTCTTCTGAACATAATTCTACTAAAGATAATAAAGAAACTTGATTTGAAGAACAATTATTTCAACAATTTTCTAATGTACCTTTAATTACTGCAGTTGGATATAAAAGTCCAAAGGATGAAATAGAAGAAATATATTGTGAAAACATTAAAATTAAATCAGTTATAGCCAACCAACCTATTACTAAAGGGGAATCTCAATGTACTTTCATCTGTGATATCAAAAATCATCATATTCACACCTATTGTAAAGTGTGCAAAAAGAATCTATCGTATAGCATAATTATTCATAATTGTATTATAGGATATGAAAGAGGAAAAATTCATCCTGATATAAAACCAACTTATTTAGTTAATAACATATGGTGAGAAGAACCAGTTTTAGTTCAACAAGA